GCCCATAGTTCCCTTCTCTCCCTCTGCCTCTTGTCTGATCCTGGTGCTTCCCTGTGTGCACCCCACAGTGCAGGATGTTCCTTTTTCTTAGTAATAAATTATCTTTTCAGTGGCTGTTGTATCCTAATCTATTGGCCTTACTATATCTCAATTTTTCCATTAATACAGTATATTTTAAAACATCACTAATCATTAAGAAAATGCAAATCAAAGCCACAAGATAACACTTTACACCCATTAGAAAAGCTATTATAAAAATTAATTATAAACAGAAAGTAAGCTGATGAAGATGTATAGAAATTGAAACTGTTTTGCATGGCTGGTGGGAAGGTAAAATGGTATAGCCATTGTGATAAACAGCACAGTGTTTTCTCAGAAAACTAATAGAATTACCACATGATCCAGCAATGCCACTTCTAGGTATATACCCAAAATAACTGAAAGCAGCATGATATGGTTAAGCTTTGTGTCCCCACCCAAATCTCATCTTGAATTGTAATCCCCAGGTATTGAGGGAGATACCTGGTGGCAAGTAACTGAATTATGGGGGAGGTTTCCCGCATGCTGTTCTTGTGATAGTGAGTATTCTCAGGAGCTCTGATGGTTTTATAAATGATAGTTTTTCCTGTGCTTTTCTCTCTCCTGCCGCCATGTCCTTGCTTCCCTTTCACCTTCCGCCATGACTGTAAGTTTCCTGAGGCCTCCCTAGCCATATGGAACTGTGAGCCAAATAAACCTCTTTCTTTTACAAATTACCCAGTCTTGGGTATTTCTTTATAGCAGTATGAAAACAGATTAATACACAGGGACTCAAACAAATATTTTTACAATGTCCATAATAACATTAGTAATAATAGCCAAAAGATGGAAATGACCCAAATGTTCACTGACAGATGGATAAACAAAATATGATATATACATATAATGGAATATTATTCAGCCTTAAAACATAATGAAATTCCGACATATATTATTACAACATGTATAAACCTTGAGGACATTTGCTAAGTGAAATAAACTAGACACAAAACGACAAATATTTTATGATAACTCTTAAATGAGGTCCCTACAATTCATAGTGAAAGTAAGTAGACTAGTGTTTACAGAGGAGTTAGGGACAGCAGGAATGGGGAGCTGTTCAATGGGTATGAAGTTCCAGTTTGGAATGATGAAAGGTTCTGGGGACAGATAGTGTTAATGGTCACACAAGAATGTGAATAGGCTTTTTACCACTAAATTGTACACTCAAAAATGATTAAAAATATAAGTTTTATGTTTTGTGTATTTTACCACAACGAGGAAAAATTTTTTAATGAATGTAATTCACAATATTAACAGACTAAATAAAAATAGCCATTCGATCATATCAGTAGGTACAAGACAGGTATTTGACACAATTCAACATATATTTGTTGTAAAATCTCTTAGCTAATTAATAGGAGAAACTTCTAATGTAGGGTATTTACAAAAACTCATAGCTAACATCACATTTAATGATGAGCTGAGTAAGGCAATTGCTTTGGTTTTAATGTTTGTTTTTCTCCATAATTAATATGAAAATTTAATTGCTATTGTAACAATTTTAAGAGAGATTGCTGTGTATTTTCAACTTCAAGGGGTGATTAGGCCACGAGGGTATCACCTTCACGGGCAGGACTGGTACTATTATAAAAAGGCAAGTTTGGCACTCTCCCGCCCTTTTCTCTCTTCTGCCATGTGAGGAAGAGCATTCTGTTCCTCACCCCACCCCATCCCCCAAAGATGTAGCATTCAAGATGCCATCTTGGAAGCAGGGGCCAGAACCTTATCAGACACCAAACATGCCAGGGCCTTATCCAGAACTTCTCAGGCTCCAGAACCGTGAAAAATAAACTTCTGTACTTGCTAAAAAAGAAAGCCAGCCTGAGGTATTCCATTATAGCAGACCAAAACAGATTAAGATAGCAATGCTCTCTCAGTACTTCTGTTCAACATCATCCTCCAAGTCTTGACCAGTAAAATAAAGGAACAGAAAGAAAGAAAAGTCATACAGTCTAAAAAGAAAAAACAAGTGGCCACTATTTGCAGACAAAATGATTATACATGTAGAACATTCCAAACAATGTGCCAAAAATCCTTATTTAATTAATAAGCAAGTTTATTAAGCTTTGAGGATAGAAGGTCAATATACAAAAGTCATCTTATTCTTATTTACCACCAGTGAACAACTGGTAAATAGGAATATAGCCAGCTCTCCCAAATCTCAGCAATCTTTTTGTAGATGTCAACAGGCTGATTCTAAAATATCCATGGAAAGGCCAAGAAACTAGAATAGCCAAAACAATTCTTAAAAAGAAAAACAAAATTGGAGAATTTATGAGATTTCAAGGCTTTCTATAAAACTAGAGTAATTCAAACAGTATATCTGAAAAAGAATAGACATATCAGGCAACACAAAGAAGAAGGATTTTTTTTTAAATGAATTGAAATTTTATTTTTATATAAAAACCTGTGTGTGAATCTTATGTTACAGGGTTATTAGTCAAAATTGTCAAAAATTGGAAACCACCAGCTGCCCTTCCACAGGTGAATAAATAAACACTACTAAGTTAGTGAGTGATACTTTAAGAGAAACATGATGTTTTATTGTCTGAAAATATCTCACTGCAGGCCAGTCATGGTGGCCTGTGCCTGTAGTCCCAGCACTTTGGGAGGCCAAGGTGGGTAGATCACCTGAGCCCAGGAGTTTGAGACCAGCCTGGGCAACAGGGCACAAGAAAAGAAAAAAAAAAAGGAAAGAAAAAAGGAAGAGAAAGAGAAGGAAGGGAAGGAGAAAAGGAAGGGAAAGAAGAAAGGCCAAAACTTAGCTACCTGGGAGGCTGAGGTGGGAGGATCACTTGAGCCCAGGAAGTCCAAGCTGCAATGAGCCATCATCACACCACTGTACTGCAACCTCATACATAGTGAGACCCTGTCTCAAAAAAACACCTCACTGCAAACATTTATTAGTTGCTGCACCCACACACACAGCGCCAAACTTGGAAGTTGTGGAGAGCCACTCTGCTGGCACCAGGCAAGGTCTCAGCCTTCCGAGAGAAGTGAAGGGTGAGCCTCTCCTTGGAAAGGAATGGAAGGGTTTATCTTTTTAAAACACTTTTCTTAAAAAATTAAGAAATTTATAATTTAAATTTGTTAAATTTAGATTTTTTTTAAATTGCTTAGTGAATGAATCCTCGTGAAAATTATTGATTGTAATGTTAGTGCCATGGATATGTCCTTACTTTGTTGCAGTGCCTCTCATGGTTCTAATGAGGTTACTGAAGGTTCTCTTTCCACTGCTTTAAAAGTCAGTTGATACATACTACCTTCTTTTTCTTGCAGTTGCACTTTTACTGCACTCGGATAAATTTTTAAATATTTAATGATAGTATATATAGTAAATAATAGTAAATATAGAGACGTTGCTACACATTTTCGATTCTTTTCTGATCATTACCATAAGTTATTAAAATGAAAGTTGGAATAGTTCCTTTAGGAAAACAAACGTATAAATGTCAAAAAAAAGAAAAATATATACACTTGGAAAACCTAGAATGATTAGAATTTTTAAAAACAAATGTTAGTCTTTTCCTCCAGAATCTATTAGTGTTTTTCAGTGTCAACAGTAAAGTTTTATATCTTGATTCATATGTAGTGCACTAGTTTACTTCTACCATTAATCCCTTTTTTCTTGCTAATCAAAACTTCTTATGGCCATATAAGATAACCTGTTAGAAAGTATCAACCATGTGTGTGCAAGTGTGTGTTACTAAAAAGAGTCATAAGATAACGGTGCTGTGAGGTTCCTAATTTGGTTCCTGATTTCAGAAGTATACCACATGAGGTTTAAGCAAGCTCATTTCTAGAAGATGCATAATTTGTGGATAATGGTTTTCTTACTCGAAATTGTGTATACTTCAGGTATTATGTAATACTGAACAGGTTACTTGCTTTTTCTTCTCCCCAGAGATAAACTCTGAGGATCACAAATATTATTCTTTTCACAAATATTATTCTTTTATGTTAATGATGGATTCCATTTTCTAGTATTTGTTACATTTTACCGCATTATTCACAGAGCTGTTTATATATTTTTGTGGCAGCTGTAAGTTGAAAGGCACACTTGTAACATGACAATCCAAAGTTTTCCCTTTATAAACTTTATACTACAAAATCTTCCAACACACAGTCAATAAGCACAACCATGTTATAGAAGTAGATATTCTTAACATTTTGCCATACTTGCCATTTTTAATTATTTTTAAAAAGAACTGACAAATGGACCAGGCGTGGTAACTCACGCCTGTAAACCCAGTACTTTGGGAGCCAGAGGCGGGCGGATCACTTGAGGCCTCAGGAGTTCCAGACCAGCCTGGACAACACGGTGAAACCCCGTCTCTACTAAAAATACAAAAATTAGCTGGGCATGGTGGCGCGCGCCTGTGGTCCCAGCTACTCGGGAGGCTGAGGCAGAACTGCTTGAACCCAGGAGGCGGAGGTTGCAATGAGCTGAGATCGCGCCACTGCACTCCAGCCTGGGACGACAGAGCGAGACTTAGTCTCATTGAAAAAAAAAAAAAAACCCAAAAACTTACAAACATAAACGACCCTAAACACTTAAATATACATCTCTTTATGAATAAGCAAGATAACCCCTCAATGCGGCCACAGTTACTTTCCTTCATAATTCTAATTTCCAGTCCGTATACACATTCTCCCAATTGTTTTCAAACGTCTTCCACGGCTCCTGTTTTCTGCAACCACACGCTGCATTTGCTGTTATGTCATCAAGTCTAACCTACAACCTCCGGGGGCTCTGACAGAACCCGGGCTCTGGTTACCAGGACAGTCCATGTTATTACATCATGTGATCTTGATGGGGAAACAAAAAAACACCGCGAGCGGGCGCCCGACCTATCAGAAACGCAGCCTTGCGAGTTACGGGTTGCCGCGCAGCATGCTGGGAACGGATACGCGGCGGTTTCGTCTGCGCGTGCGCAGTCAGCCCCCCGTGCCAGCTATTCCCTCGGTGTTTGCCAGTGCGGAGGGTTCGCAGCTCAGGTGAGAGGGTCGGGGCTCCGCGCGGTTTGCGGACCTGCGGGGAGGGATGGGCTGCAGGGGGTGCGAACGCGACGTCCCGGGAACTCCCCCAAAAGCAGGCCCTCCGCTCCCAGTGCCCGGGTTGGGCCCGGACCTCAGCCTGAGAAGGGCTGGCGGGGGCGGGCTCCGGGGGTGTAGGAGGGGCTGAGTCCTTGTGGGAGGATGCTCGGTGCGGCCGAGGTGTGGGTGCCAGAGTGCAGCCAGGCGTCAGGAAACGCGGTGCTGGCGGCAGTAGGGGAATGCGTGTTTATTGTGTTGGCCATGAACCTGCCACAAAGCGCATACGGCCAGTGGGTCTGTGTTGAAAGCCCGAGCCTAGGAGCTAGAAGGACCTGGTGAATTTTGGCTCTGTCACTTGAGCGTTTGAAAATGAGGATATTAGGCCGGGCGCGGTGGCTCAAGCCTGTAATCCCAGCACTTTGGGAGGCCGAGGCGGGTGGATCACGAGGTCAAGAGATCGAGACCATCCTGGTCAACATGGTGAAACCCCGTCTCTACTAAAAATACAAAAAATTAGCTGGGCATGGTGGCGCGTGCCTGTAATCCCAGCGACTCAGGAGGCTGGGGCAGGAGAATTGCCTGAACCCAGGAGGCGGAGGTTGCAGTGAGCTGAGATTGCGCCATTGCACTCCAGCCTGGGTAACAAGAGCGAAACTCCGTCTCAAAAAAAAAAAAAAGAAAAAGAAAAAAAAAAAGAAAATGAGGATATTAGTAAAAACTGCTTTGTGATGTGCAGAGATAAGGCATCACCTGTAAAGGATTTAGCTAAGTGCTAGCTACTAAGCAGCATGTGAAGGTAGATTCCCGTCGTATTTGGAAGACACTTTGTTCTTTTCATGTAGCATTTCGTTTAATTCTCACAACCACCCTGTTTATAAGTATATCTTTAAAAATGAAGAAGGAGAGGTGAAATGATAGCACCAAGCTCACAAACGATGAGGGAGCGAGGATGCCAATACAGATATGCTTTACTCCCCAAATCAGGCTGTTTGTAATGGCCTACCTACCTAACCCAGCATTACACCCTTCACAGCACTAGGTGAATGACTTGTCCCCAAAACCTCAGGACCATGATTGTGAAGTCAACGTGGACAGAATCTTACTATGTGGCAAGTGTATTTGTTGTGGGATTTCTGGGATGTCTCCAGAGCCTTTCGGTTAGACTGAAGCTCCTGCCACCTCCTGTGCTGTCCCTGCTGTCTCTGTCTTTAGAAGTCGGTCTGATATTCTAGGGCAGTGAAATTGAGTCTCATGGGTAATTTTAAGTGTTAAACTAGTAGCGACATGAAAATCTAAAACATGAAATTAATTTTAAGAACTTTCTGTGGTTTTCTCCAAAATTTTATTTCAACATGAGGCCCTAGCCACATTTCAAGTGCTCAGTAGTTGATGTGACTGGAGGCTGTAGTCATGGATAGTGGGTTCTAATGGATGCCAAGTTTAAGGCCTTATATCAGTTGTTCTTCACTAGGAGGATTTTGCTCCCCAGGGAACTTTGGAAACGTCTGGAGACTTTTTTTTTTTTTTTTTCCTCCTGAGACTGAGTCTTGCTCTGTTGCCTAGGCTGGAGTGCTGTGGCATGATCTCCGCTCACTGCAACCTCTGCCACCCAGATTTAAGCAATTCTCCTGCCGCAGCCTCCTGAGTAACTCCTGAGCATGCACTGCCACGCCTGGCTAATTTTTTGTATTTTTAGTAGAGATGGGGTTTTACCATGTTGACCAGGCTGGTCTTGAACTCTTGACCTCAGGTGATCCACCCGCCTTGGCCTCCCAAAGTGCTGGGATTACAGGCATAAGCCACCACACCAGACCTGCAGACATTTTTGATTGTCACAACAGGGTGAAGGGGTGTCCTAGTGTCTAGTGCATGTTTAGAAATGCTCCTGAACATCCTACAATACATAGGACCACTCCTTATGTCAGAGAATTGTCCAGCCCAAAATGTCAGTCGTACTGAGGTGAAGAACACTGCTTTCCATGAAAGTTTCAACTAAAATGAATTTGTTACCCAGGCCTCAGGCCTCAGCCCCAGCTTCTCTGGAGCAAAGCAGCTCTTTGTGTTGCAGGAAGGAGGAGGCCCCAGGAACAGGAGTCCAGCCAAAGAACTGCCCTCTGACAGAGACCTCCTCACCAGGGCTTCTGAACAGATGCAGAAGAACCCAGAAAGGAGCAGATCTTGATTTGCCACACCAGCAGCAGTTCTTCAAACCCTTGCCTAGAGAGCGCCGGACTTGGTGATGTCGCCGCATCCAGAAGCCATCACAGATTGTGTGACACTGAACGCTGTGGGCCAACTTGCAGAAGGTGGTGAGCTGGGGTGGAGAGGCATGGGTGACTGTCAGACTGCACAGGAAAAGCCACATTACTACTGGAGGGCTTTTCTGCGTGGTCTCCAAGGAAGGCATAACCAGCCAGGGCTGTCTCTAATTCTGTCTCTAATTCTCCTCACAGAGCCCCCATTTTTTTCGTTCTTGACTCACTCTTTCCAGATTCTGAATCACTGTCACACAACATCCATCACGTACATGTAGCATCTAGAGATTTACTAAGGTTGCCTCTATCCTGAACCTGTGGAATCACAAAATGATAATACAGGAAAGGCTTTCTATTTCTGATTCTTTTAAAACCTTAAAAAAGTAGTGAAACTAGGATGAATGGTTTTGTCCGTGGTCACAAAGGACAGAGCTTGAAGCAAAGCACAGTGCTGTTCACTCTGTCACAGGTGAGTCACCACAAGTATCTTACCAAAATTCTTTTTGAGAAACTATAAGTTAGAACAAAAAGATATTAAAATAGTCTGTTTTTCAGCATCTCATTTTTTTTTCAGTTTTGTGTTTTCTGTTGGTGTAAATATTAACAGAGAACGAATGTTAATCCTGTTTTAGTTTTTGTTAATTATTCAAAAAAGACATACATTTTTAATAAATCAATATGAAAACAATCTATAGTCACCTGATGAAAAACAGCAAGCGGCTCACCCCTCCAATCCTAGCATTTTGGGAGGCCAAGGTAGGCAGACTGCATGAGATCAGGAGTTTGAGACCAGCCTGGGCAACAGGGCGAAACCTCGTCTCTACAAAAAAATACAAAAATTACCCAGGCATGGTGGCAGGTGCCTGTGGTCCCAGCTACTCAGGAGGCTGAGGTGGGAAAATCGCTTGAACCTGGGAGGTGGAGGTTGCAGTGAGCTGAGATTGCGCCACTTCACTCCAGCCTGGGCAACAGAGCCAGATCCTGTCTCAAAAAAAAAAAAAAAAAAAAAAAAAAACCCAGCAAGGTTTCATCCACATGATCATGTTACAGATGCACATATTTAGGGGGTGTTTTCTCTCTAATACTTCCTATCCCTTCTTAAGGGTCAAAGGAACATTTTTTGTAGAGAGGCTGTTTCCCCAGCTGGTGTGATGACATTGGTAGGCAGGTGAGATAGAGGCTGCCCAGATCTCATGACCCCTTCCTCACCTTCAGGTTGTCCTCTACACTTCTCCACACTCTTCGAGGAGCAGCAGAACATGAACATATCTCAGGTGAGTTATTTACTAACACCTTTTTCATCATGGATTTTAGAGGTGTTTAAGGGTCCTCATAATAATGTGGAAATGTAGAAATAGGTTAAAATCATCCAAGGAATATATAGAAAAGCAGAGCAATAGCACAGCAGAATTGGCATGTGGAAAGGTGCAGGCCGCCTGATGTTACAGATTTTCCAAAATGGAACTGCCGTTTTCATTATTTCTGATAGCCATGGCAGAGAGTCAGACAGACAATATTTGTTTCCAGATTTGCATTGATGAGAAGCTTAAACTGGACTGATTCCTCATGGAATCTAGAGTTATCAAAGTCAGGGGAAATGTCTTTGTTGGTCTTCATGTAAGTGTCAGTGCAAATCTTTCTAATAACAGCCCTGAAATAAATGCAGTATATTGCTTCTGCTTTTTCCTCAGTGGAATTAGAGGGCTTAGTGCCAAACTCAGGCTTTGATTAGTACAGTTTTTCAGGTAGTGGAAGCAGAGTTTCAGGTAGACAGATTGTCAAAGAAAGGACAGATTGGTGGTGTAGGCTCCACTGACCAGAGGTGGAGTGTTTAAAAGGATTTTGTCCTGAAAAATGGGTGAGGTTTTTGTTGTTGCAGTATAGGAGGTTACTGCATTTTGAGAGAGGGCTAAACAAGGCATGCAAGCTCCAGTAAGAATCTTTGCCCATTGCAGTTTGAACTTCCTCTTAGGGAATAATAAGAGAGGGGATGGAGATAAAGGTTTGAGCCAGACGCGGGGTATTAGTTTGCTAGGGCTACTGTAATAAAGAACCACAGACTGGGTAGATTAAACAGCAATTTATTTTCCCACCATTCTGAAACCCAGAAGTCTGAGATCAAGATGTCAACAGGGGCCAGGCATGGTGGCTCATGCCTATAATCCCAACACTTTGGAAGGCCAAGGCGAGTGGATCACTTAAGGTCAGGAGTTCGAGACCAGCCTGGCCAACAGGGTGAAACCCCATCTGTACTAAAAGAGAGACACTGCACCATGGACTGTAGTCCATGACCTGCACCTACACTCCAGATGAGTTCCTGGAACTCGAAAGTCTGAAGTAACTGGAAAACCACAAAAAGAAGAAGAAAGATCAACCCTTGCGGTGCCTAATTCCCATCTCAACTGATAAGGCAGTTGGACTTTATAACTGACCTTGGTCAACCTCATGACTCCAGACCCTGTGACCCCTCCCAACTTGCAAAAACTGCCCTGAACTGTAACTTCTGTAACTTTCCATTGCTTACCCCAAACCTTCAAAACCAACTCCTGTCCCACTGCCCTCCACTGACTCTCTTTTTGGACTCAGCCCGCCTGTACCCGGATGAATAAACAACCATGTTGCTCGCACAAAAAAAAAACAAAAAACGGGCATACCCGGGCATGATGGTAGGCTCCAGTAATCCCAGCTGCTTGGGAGGCTGAGGCAGGAGAATCGCTTGAACCTGGGAGGTGGAGATTTCAGTGAGCCGATATCATGCTACTGCACTCCAGCCTGGGTGACAGTGTGAGACTATGTCATAAAAAAAAAAAAAAAAAAAAAAAAAGGTGTCAACAGATTTGGTTCTTTCTGAGAGTTGTGAGGGAAGGGCCTTATTCTGTGGTTTAGATGTCTGTCCTTACATCATTTTTCCTCTGTAGGAGTCTGTTCAAATTTCTTTCTCCTGTAAGGAATTCAGAATTTGTTCAAATATAGAAAGATACAAAGAAATAATATATAAATATATTATTATATATGTGGAAGGTTCCCACCTTCCCAAATTACCAACTATATATATTTTGTTAGATTTTTCTTTCTCTTGTATGCCTCTTCTTTCCTTTTTAAAACTTAGTTCTTTAACTGAGATACAGTTGTAATACCAGTAAAGTGCACTCTTAAGTGTGTAACTGGATGGATTTTTACATGTGTATATTCATGCAATTTAGCACCCAGATTAAGATAGCACCACTGTATAAGGATGCTATAAGGACATAAGGACAACCACTATTCTGACCTCACATGTTAGGAAAAAAGATAAATTCATTTTTTAATACCGTACCAGTGAAATCATACAAAGTGTACCCTTTTTCAGTTTTCAAGGGAGTGGGAGGTCTGGCTTTACATAACATTTTTTAGATTCATCAGTTTTGCTGTATACCTTAATATTTCCGTTACCGCTGGGCTGTATTTCATTATTTGAATAGACCATAATTTATTTCCACATTCTCCTCTTAGTGCATTTTTTTTCATTTGTTTTTCCTGTTTCAGACTATCAGGAGTAAGGCTGCTGTGAATATTCTTTTGTGTCTTTTGGTATGTCCTCATTGTTTTTGGGATTTACTTAGAAATGGAATTGCCGCTTCATAGAAGAAACATATGTTCAGCTTTAATACATACTATGAGTAGCTTGCCTAAATGGTTGAATCAGTGTACATTCCCACTAGCATTCTAGCTGTACCAGATTCTGACCAACACGTGTTACTGTCAATCTTTTTGTTTTTAGCTATTCTGGTGGCTACATAGTGTGGTATCTCATCAGAATTTATAATTTGCTTTTCTATGATAAATACTAATGTTGGGCACCATTGTTTGTGTTTTGACCATTTAGACATCCATTCCTTTTATGTATTATGTAAAGTACCTATTCAACTCTGTTTTAATTGGGTTATTTGCTTTTAAGTAGAAATTATTTCAATATTATCAGAACATGTTTTTTTGCCATGCATGCATTACTAATGTTCTTGGATTCTGTGGCTTGCCTATTCATTTTTTAAACAATATCTTTGATAACAAAGTTTTTACCTTTAATAAAGGTCAGAATTGTCTTTTCTTTAATGGCAGTTCTATTTGAAAGCTCTTTCCCTACTCAAAGATCATACAGATATTCTCCTTTATTGTTACTACATCCTTGTTTATTTTAGCTTGATGCACATAGAGTAAGATTTTGTGTTTGGTATAAGGTGAGTGTCACGGTTCAAATTTCCATATGGATATCCAGTTGCTGAAGCACCATTTGTCAGGAAGACCATCCTCTGTCAACTGAACTGCAGTTGTGTCTTTTGTCAGTCAAGTGACCTGTATGCAGGTCTAATGTAGGCTGTGTTTTCTTGCTTTGGTCCAGTTATTTGATCTTTTTGCAAGTACTTCATTGTCATCATTACTGTTCCTTTATAGTAAGTCAGGAATTCATAGTGAATTTATTTACTGTTTTAGGTCCTTTTCATGTTCATGGAAATTTTATCAGTTTTCATAGAAAATCCTGATGGAGAGTTTTTCAGAGTAGAGGTGAAGTCTTTCACATCTTTTATTAGATTTATTCTTAGGTATTTGATGTATTTTGATAATAGCACAAATAACTACTTTTTAAATGTCATTTTCCACTTTGTTAGTTTATTAAAATACAATGAATTTTTTAGTAGTCATCTTATACCTAGGCATTTTACAAAGTTTATTCATTCTAATAGCTTATCTGTGGATTTTTTTGGATTTTAAATGTGCAAAATTTTTTTTGCAATAAAGACAGCTAATATTTTTGTATCTACGTTAATGGAGAGATACTGGCTTGCAGTTTTGCCGTCATGTAACATCAGGTTTTGGCATCAACATTATATTCTCAAAAAATTAGTTTGGAAACAGGTATTCACTTTCTGTTCTCTGAATGAGTTTAAGATTGCTGTTATTTCTTCCTTAAATGTTTGGAAAAATATACCTGTGAGGTAGTATAGCCTTGGAGTTTTTCTTTTTTTTTTTTTTTTTTTTTTTTTTTTGAGACTGAATGCACCCAGGCTAGAGTGCAGTGGCACAGACTGGGCTCACTGCAACCTCTGCCCTCACAGGTTCAAGCAGTTCTCCTGCCTCAGCCTCCCGAGTAACTGGGAGTACAATTACTCACCACCACACCTGGCTAATTTTTTAGTAGAGACGGGGCGTCACCATGTTGGCCAGGCTTGTCTTGAGCTCCTGACCTCAGGTGATCCGCCCACCTCGGCCTCCCAAAGTGCTGGGATTACAGGTATGAGCCACCATGCTTGGCTATTGTGAGGCAATTTTAAAATTGGTATGAGGTAAAAGTCCAACTTCATTCTTTTGATGAGATTCAGTTATCCCATTTATTAGGAATAATTACATTGACCATTTATTAGGAAAAAAAGTCTGTTGAAAACTTTTTTTTTCCAATAAATGGTCAATGTATGGGTTTATTTCTGGGCTCTCAGTGCTATTCTGTGGATCTGTATGTCTGTATGTATGCCAGTATCACGCTGTCTTGATTACTGTTGCTTTATAATAAGTTTTAAAATCAGGAAATGTAATCCCTCCAATTTTTTTCTTTTTCTTCTGGATTGTTTTGACTATTCAGGTTCCTCTGCAATTTCATATAAATTGTAGGTTCAGCATTTCTGCAGAAAGGCCATTGGGATTTTGATATAGATTCACTGGATCTGTAGATCACTTTTGGGAGTATTATCGTCTTAATATTAAATCTTCCAATCCATGAACACAGGGTGTCTTTCCACTTATTTATGTCTTCTGAATTTCTTTTAGCAGTGTTTTCTAGTGTTCACATATAAGTCGTGTACCTTCTTGGTTAAATATATCCTATTTCATTATTTTTTGCTCTGTTGTAAATGAAATTGTTTTCTTTTTTATTATTCATTGCCAGTACTCAGAGAGATAAATAATTCTTGTGTGTTCATCTTGTATCCTACAGTTTTCCTGAATATATTTATTGGCTCTAGTAGTTTTTTGTCTCTTCCTTAGTCTTCCATATATTAAATCTCATGGTCTATAAGTAGAGATAGTTTTACTTTTTTCTTTCTAATTTGGATACATTTTTTTTCTTTGTCTTAGGCTAGAACTTCTAGTATACTGAATAGAAATGATGAAAGCAGGCCAGGTACAGGGGCTCACGCCTGTGATCCCAGCACTTTGGGAGGCCAAGGCAGGCAGATCACGAGGTCACCATCCTGACCAACATCCAACATGGTGAAATCCCTTCTCTACTAAAAATACAAAAATTAGCTGGGTGTGGTGGTGCACGCCTGTAGTCCCAGCCTAATATTAGGGAGGCTGAGGCAAGAGAACTGCTTAAACCCAGGAGGCAGAGGTTACAGTGAGCTAAGATTGTACCACTGCACTCCAGCCTGGTGACACTGCACTCCAGCCTGGAGTGAGACTCCATCTCAAAAAAAGAAAGAAAAAAGAAATGATGAAAGTGGAGGCATCCCCATCTTATTCCTGATATTTGGAAAAAATCTTCCTGTTTTTTAGCCTAGTGTGTTATGTGAGCTGTGGTTTTTCAGAAATGCTTTTTGTTGTGTTGCGGCAGTTCTCTTCTATTCCTACTATGTTAAATGTTTTTATCATGAAAGGATGTTTTTGTCAAATGCTTTTTCTGCATCAGTTGAGATGATCATGTGATTTGTTTTCTTCATTTTATTATTGTGATATATTACACTGATTTATTTTCTTATGGTGAGCCACCTTGCATTCCTGGAAAATTGTACTTGGTCATGGTGTATAGTCCTTTTTATTTGTTGCAAAATTTGGTTTGCTAGTATATTGTTGAAAACACATATTCAGAAGGGATATTGATGATAGTTTTGGGGTGATTTCTTTATCTGGCTTTGGTTCAAGGTAACTTATAGTATGAGTAGAATTCACCAAACATTTAAAGACCAACCAGTTGGTCTTGAGCCTTTCTTTCGTGGGAGGATTTGGATTACTGATTCAGTCTTCTTACATGAGTCTGTTTGGATGTTCTGTTTTTCTTTGAGTCCATTTTGGTGGTTTGTGTGTTTCTAGGAATTTGTCCATTTAATCTAGGTTATGTAATTTGTTATTATACAGTTCATTGTGTTCTTTTACTGTCTTTTTCATTTCTGTGAGGTTAGTAGTAAATTCCCTACCTCATTTAGTTCCTTCAAGTGTACAATTAGGATATTGATTTGGGATTGTTTTTAATATAGGTATTACAGCTATAAATTTCATGCTTAGCACTGCTTTATCTGCATCCCATGCATTTTGGTATTTTGTCTATTCATGGTGAGTAATCTCAATGTATGTTCTAATTTCTGTGTTTTTGGGGTTTTGTTTTGAGACTGAGTCTTGCTTTGTTACCCAGGCTGGAGTGCAGTGGCACCATCTCAGCTCACTGCAACCTCTGCCTCCTGGGTTCAAGTGATTCTCCTGCCTCAGCCATGCAAGTAGCTGGGATTACCGCCATGCACCACCTCGCCTGGCTAATTTTTGTATTTTTAGTAGAGACGGGGTTTCACCATGTTGGCTAGGCTGGTCTTGAACGCCTGACCTCAAGTGATCTGCGTGCCTCAACCTCCCAGAGTGCTGGGATTATAGGTGTGAGCCACCATGCCCAGCCTAATTTCTCTTTTGACTTTCCCTTTGATCCTGTAGCAAGGTGAAAATCCTCCTATGTGTATAGCTCCTGGGGACTTCACATACTCACACTAGTATACACTTGCCTTTAGCAGGTTGTTAAATTTTTCTAGTAATTTTCTTCCTAATTGTCTTAGATGGAGCTCAGTAGCATCTGCTCCAGTAAGCAAATGAGAACATTCTGATTCTCCTGGCAGGTACCTGTCTCTCTCCTAATAGTTCAAAAAAAGGATATTAATTTTCTGTTTACCCCACATCGTTCTCGTAAGGATGTTAGCACTGCTTTTATCAGCTCTCTACATCTCCGAGCTGAGATCTAAAGCTACATTGTATGATTTTAACTTTTTGCAATTTAGTGAGATAGACTGCCTTTTTTTTTAATGTGCAAAGGACACCAGAGAGTTACATTATGCAGAGGTTATTCTATATATGTCAGTCAGGTTGGTTAATTATACCTTCAATCCTGTATGTCAGTGGCCAGAAAACTTTCTCTGTAAATGTCAGATAGTAGGCTTTGTGAGAGATACAGTCTCTGTTGCAACTACCAATCTCTGCAGCTGTAGAGTTAAGCAGCCATAGATAATACATAAACAAATGAAGACCGGGCACAGTGGCTCACGCCTGTAATCCCAGCACTTTGGAAGGCTGAGGCAGGCGGATCACCTGAGGTCGGGAGTTCAAGACCAGCCTGACCAACATGGAGAAACCCTATCTCTACTAAAAATACAAAATTAGCCAGACATGGTGGCGCATGCCAGTAATCCCAGCTATTCAGGAGGCTGAGGCAGGAGAATCACTGGAACCCGAGAGACAGAGGTTGCAGTGAGCTGAGATCATGCCATTACACTCCAGTCTGGGCAACGAAAGCAAAACTTCATCTCAAAAAAAAAAAAAAATCGAATGTGACTATGTTCCATGAAAATTTTATTAAAAAAAAAAACAGTAGTGGTGAGCTGGGTTCGACCTTTGTGCTATAGTTCACTGACTCCTGTTCTATATCCCTGTTGGTTTTTCTTAATCCGCTTTTCTATGAGTTACTGGGAGAGTTACATAAAATCACTAATTATAATTGTAGATTGGTATCTCATTTCTGTCAACTTTTGTTTATATACAGTCAGTTCTCATTATCCTCAGTAGTAATGTTCCCAAAAGTCACTACAAACACTGAACTAATAAATACTGAACCATTGTTCAGCGGAGAAATACAGGGTTAAGCCTCGGGTCACATTTTTGTCAACCAGTCAGTACATAATCTTGTTTTTATGTATCTTTATGCATAAAGACACATTATTTAATATTGTTGGTTCACAAAGATTGAACTAATGGCCAACAACACCATAACTACTGCCTGAATGATCCTTATCTAACATAGATATTTTCTCCATGAGACATATCACAAGCTTCTTGCACATAGGCACACTAGACAGCAAGCATGTAAATGCTATACATATGGGTCATTTAGAAAGTGAAATCATCAAGAAAAACACAAAAATGCAGTAAATATGGTGCTATATAGATTGAGAAATGAACACTTATTTACAGTATCAGAGCTGAAACAAAAAAGCCTATCACTGTGTTCAGCCTCATCTGGGAACATGTAGGTCAGGCAATTCAAACTTTTTACCTTCCTGCATATGTCCAAAAGTGACTGCAAAATAACGGCAAGTGTTGATTTTGAGATTGCAAATAATTTTAGTATGTAAATTTACAAATACGTAATCTGTGAACAATGAGAAATGATTACATTGGGAAGCTATGTTTGCCAGGTGCATACCAATTTGGGTTTGTTGTATCTTCTGTTGAAAGGACCATTTTATCATTACAAATTGTTACTGATTTTTTATACCTCTTTCTTACCTTAAAATCTGTATATGATATTAAATGCAATCATATCAGCTATCTTTTGGTTTTGATTATATTGTATGTCTTTTTCCATCCTTTTATTTTCAATATGCATAATCCCTATGTATATAAAATATGTTTTCTTTGTTGTTGTTGTATACTTTCTTTATCTTTACTTTAATTAATTATTTAGTCCAGAGGTTGGTAAATTTTTTCTGTAAAGGGCAAGTAATAAATATTTTCAGTTTTAACAATCATAAGGTCTCTGATGGAACTTCTCAGTGTTATTTCAGCACAAAAGCAGCCATAAACAATGCAGCATGATTGGGTGTGCCTATGTGCCAGTTCACTTTATTTAAATAAAGTGGCAAGTGGCCACATGCAGTGACTCACACCTATAATCCGAGAGCTTTTGGAGGCCAACATGGGAGGATCACTTGAAGCCAGGAGTTCAAGATTAGCCTAGGCAACATAGACCACACATTAACAAAAAACTGGCAAGCCAGATTTGGCATAAAGGCCATGATTTGCTGATCCCTGCCCTGAGGTATGCCCAGGGTAGTCTATTGGGTTGGAATAAAAATTGTAGGAAGTTTATTTGCATTTTTTGGCTACAAAAATAAGAATTAAAAAAAAGTTTTACTAATGTATCTATTTATCATCTATGTATATAACTCATGAATATATATAGATCATTTATAAACATTTTCTTTGAGACAAGGTATTGCTCTGTCACCAAGGGTGGTATACAGTGGTGTGATCATGGTCCACTGCAGCCTCATCCTCCTGGGCTGAAGCAATCCCCCTGCCCCAGCCTTCCAAGTAGCTGGGACTAGAGCCACACACCACCATCTCTGGCTAATTTTTAAAATTTTTTTAGAGACAAGGCCTTGCTGTGTTGCCCAATCTGGTTTTAAACTCCTAGGCTCAAGCAATCCTCCCACCTTGGCCTCCCAAAGTGCTGGGATTACAGGCATGAGCCACTGCACCTGGCCTATAAAAACTTTTACTAGTTTAATACTTTCAAAGTATAAGATAAGATTAAATTCAAAGTAGGCATCCTTTATATTTGTTTAAGCTTTTTAGAGTTGAACTTGATAAAAATTGATTTCATGGGTGATTTCTACATCATCTAATTCTGAATGCTTCAGATTGAATAGAAATGTACTGTTACAGGAATCGGTGTCATTCAAGGATGTGACTATAGAATTCACCCAGGAGGAGTGGCAGCAAATGGCCCCTGTTGAGAGGAATCTGTACAGAGATGTGATGCTGGAGAATTACAGCCACCTCGTCTCAGTGGGTGAGCATGTAAACATAACCTACCCTTGTAACTCCATATGGAAAATATTTCTTTTTTAAGTGCCAGTACATGTGAACAATTTACTTAAATTTTAATGTTATTTAGGCTTTTCATTCAAGAGTCTGGAGTAATTAAGCCCTGTCAAGGACTAGAAAAAATGTATTGTCAGCTCCCAACGATAATGCACTTTCAGGATACTGCTTCCAAAGCTGTATTTTCTCCTACTTTAGGAGACTAAAATTTTATATATCTGGCCTAAGTCCTTGATTATTCTTTATTTACAGGGTACTGCCTTTTCAAACCAGAGGTGATCTTCAAGTTGGAGCGAGGAGCAGAGCCTTGGTTCTCAGAGGAGGAATTCTCAAACAAGAGTCACCCAAGTGAGTTACTGAGCAGTAGTGAACAGAATTCTGCAGGAGTGGTTAGACTCCAGGTCACTTTAGGGGGTGAACACCTGAATATTCCAAGACTTTTCTTAGAAAGCCTAAAGGCACAAAAAGCAGCAGTTAAAAGAAAATGATTAATAAAATTGATTCCATTAAAAGTAAGAAATTTGTTAATAAAAGATAGTATTCAAAGGGTGAAAAGACAAGCCATTGAGTAGCATAATATGTATATAGTGCGAATAACTTAGAAAGGACATGCTTCCTGAAAAAAGGGATATAAAGAATTTCTGCAAGTCATTATGGTTAAAGGTAGGCAACCCAATTGAAAAATGGGCAAAAATATTGAACAGGAACTTTTACTATGGCCGGTAAATCTTTGAAAATGTGTTCGGGCCGGGCGCGGTGGCTCAAGCCTGTAATCCCAGCACTTTGGGAGGCCGAGGCGGGTGGATCACAAGGTCAAGAGATCGAGACCATCCTGGTCAACATGGTGAAACCCCGTCTCTACTAAAAATACAAAAAATTAGCTGGGCATGGTGGCGCATGCCTGTAATCCCAGCTGCTCAGGAGGCTGAGGCAGGAGAATTGCCTGAACCCAGGAGACGGAGGTTGCGGTGAGCCGAGATCGCACCATTGCACTCCAGCCTGGGTAACAAGAGCGAAACTCCGTCTCAAAAAAAAAAAAAAAAGAAAAGAAAATGTGTTCAATCTCATTAATTTACATGGAGCACAAAATAATATATGAAGTGAGATATGAGGTGAAATAACAGATATGAAGTGAGATTAACAAATATGGCAATGCCAAGTCTTGGTGAGGATATGGAATGTTAGAGACCCTTAACCACTGACTGGAAATATAAACTGGTAAAACCACTGTGATATCAGGAGGATTTGTTTTTAATTCCCATAGGATTTTGATGAACAGGTGGTATTTGGTTACATGAGTAAGTTCTTTAGTGGTGATTTGTGAGACTTTGATGCACCCATCACCCAAGCAGTATACACTGAAACCAATTTGTGGTCGTTTATCCCTCTCCTTCTTCCCATCCTTTCACCACCCTGAGTCCCCAAAGTCCATTATATCATTCTTATGCCTTTGCATCCCACGAAGATGTTTTCTAATCAAGGTAAACTTTTGCATATGCTGTAGCCAGGCAATACCTTTTCTAATCATATGACTGACAAAAAGATATGATTGTGTTCTCTGGAATACATAAAAGAATATTAATGGTAGTATTGTTTATGTTTGGTAGAAATTGTGCTTATCAACAGTAGAATGGAGAAATAGCTGTATTCCTTAAGGAAAAAATTATACAGCCACATAAAATCTTGTACACTGATTATAAACATAATATTAAGCAAAAGAAAACAAAAAATATGTGTATATGGTTATATTTATGTAAAGGTGTCAGAAGCAGGCAAAATTCAACTACATTTTTAGGAATTCATGTATTGGTTATAAAACTATAAAGAAAATCAAGGAAATGATAACATAAGTATTAGGAGAGTGGTGAATTCTAAACATATAGAGTTTGTAACCAAGCAGAGATAAACAGGGATTTTTTTCAGAGCCATTTGTGTTTCATGACATGGTTTCTAATTCCATGAGTGTTCACTTACTACTATTAAGTTGCTCGTGAAAGTTTTATGCAAGTAGATATTGTTTCATGCTTGATAAAGTGTAAGAGATAAGCAAGAAGTGGCAGATGATATTTGCAGTATGACCTGTCAAGGATAGGCATTTAGAATGCATAAAGTATCCAGACCTTTCTTAACCATCATTTTCACAGTAAAACATTCTGTAATACCCTATTTAAAATTGTACCCCTCATGTCAGATTGATATGTAGAAACTTAGGATGGAATGATCAGGTTCACTTATTGCTTAGTTCTGATGGAATAAATCAACGGCATGACAGCCAGAGTGGAGCAGGGCATCTAAGTTAGCTGCAAGAATGGATTTTATTTTCAACAATTTTATATTTGCTTGTATTTCTATGAATCACAATCATAAGAGGGGTTAGAGGTGTAACCATTTTTTATGTAGTCATAAAGGAGTTGGTTATGTTATAAATTTAACTTGATGTTGAAGAACTGATGAGGGATATCAAATTGTAAGAATGTAGACAATAAACTATTCTAACCATTATAATCTAGATAATGTCAAGACCTGGAGTGTAATTTACTTTCTTCTTCTAAACCCGTTCCGTGTTGGGCCTATTCCAAAAATTCTGTTACCTCCTGATTTTCCTTGTTATACTACTTACATTTAGGGCTTTTGCTGTATTTATCCCATTATCTGTTTTTCCTACTCCCTAAAATAACCACCCCTATAAAACTCTAAGTTTTTCTTTTCTTTCTTCTATCAACCCAGTTAGGAAGATCTTATTAATCACATGCAAAATGTGTATTTGTTACCAGTTTCCTTTTCCATTTGCACTATACCAATATTACTTTTAAAGGGGGGTGTTCTGAGATATATATTAATATACACATATATATGAATTATTTAATCTTAAGAAATCAAATAATTAAGTGCAACATAGGCTGAATGTTGATAAGCCCTACCCATAAAAGATGTAAGAGTCATAAGATGTTTTCAATATTTCTGTTTTAGAAGATTACAGAGGTGATGACCTGATCAAGCAGGACAAGAACATCAAAGACAAACACTTGCAGCAAGTAATATGTATCAATAATAAAACATTGACTAGAGAGGAAGAGAAAGTTTTAGGGAAACCATTTACTCTGCATGTAGCTGCTGTTGCTTCAACAAAAATGTCCTGCAAATGTGACTCATGGGGAGTGAATTTGCAAAGTATTTCTGAATTTATCATTAATAATAGAAACTGTTCAACAAAGAAAGTAGATTGCTGTAATCTATGTGAGAATTCACCTTTCAAAATTAACTTTGAGAAAACTCAGACTGGGGAGAAATTTTATGAACATAATAAAAATATGAAAGCTCTCAGTTATAATGAAAATCTTCCCAAGCATTCAAAGTTTCAAACTTTGGAGCAAGCTTTTGAATGTAATAAAATTGGAAAAGCCTTTAATGATAAGGCTTGCTGTGTTAAACATAAGAATCCTCACACAGGAGAAAAATCCTGTAAAGATGATGAATTTAGGAAAAAATGTGATAAGACAACTCTCTTTGACCACAGGAGAACTGGCACAGGGGAGAAACATCCTCATCTTAATCAATACGGGAAATCCTTTGAGAAGTCAACTGTGGAGGAATATAATAAATGTAACATGGGTGTGAAATATTATGAATTAAATTCAAGTGGAAATAATTTCAACAGAAAGGCACACCTCACTGAACCTCAGACAACTGTCACAGAAGAGAATCCAGTGGTATGTAGTGACAGAACACAGAGTTGGGTTAAATCCTCTGAATATCATGAAAATAAGAAATCCTACCAGATGTCAGTTCACAGAGTTCACCAGAGAAGTCACTTGAAGATAAAACCCTATAAATGTAATGAATGTGGGAAATCCTTCTGTCAGAAAGGACATCTCATTCAACATCAGAGAACTCACACAGGAGAGAAACCATTTGAATGTAGTGAATGCAGAAAAACTTTCTCCCAGAAGTCACACCTCAGTACTCATCAGAGAATTCACACAGCAGAAAAACCCTATAAATGTAATGAATGTGGAAAAACATTTGTCCAGAAGTCAACCCTCAGGGGACATCAAAGAATTCACACAGGAGAGAAACCCTATAAATGTAGTGAATGTGGGAAGACTTTTGTTCAGAAGTCTACTCTCAGAGATCATCACAGAACTCACACAGGGGAGAAATCCTTTCAGTGCAATGAATGTGGAAAAACATTTGGCCAGAAGTCAAACCTCAGAATACATCAGAGAACTCACACTGGGGAGAAAACTTACCAATGTAACGAATGTGAAAAATCCTTCTGGCGAAAAGACCATCTCATTCAACATCAGAAGACTCACACAGGAGAGAAGCCATTCAAATGTAGTGAATGTGGGAAAACTTTTGCCCGGACATCAACCCTCAGAGCGCATCAAAGAATTCACACTGGGGAGAAACCATTTAAATGTAATGAATGTGGGAAAAAGTTTGTCCGGAAAGCAATCCTTAGTGATCATCAGAGAATTCACACAGGGGAGAAACCCTTTCAGTGTAGTAAATGTGGAAAAACTTTTGGCCAGAAATCAAACCTCAGAATACATCAAAGAACTCACAGTAGGCAGAAATCTTATGAATGCAATGAATATGGGAAATTACATAAGAAGTCAACCCTAAGCGTATACCAGAAAATTCAGGGAGAGGGGAATCCCTATTGATGTAATAACTGGGAAATCCTTTTGACAAAAAGATTACCCCTTTTGACATCAGAGATACACAAGAAACCAATTGAGGGTAGTGAATGTAAGAAGGCAGTCGCAGAAATAAACCCTCACAGTGAATCAGAGAATTCACTTAGGAGAGAAACCATATGAAGATGAATGCAGGAAGAATTGTGTCCAAAAGGCAACCTTCAGAGGCGTTTTTGTTTCTTTTCAGAGTACTATGGATAGGCCTGAATGAAGTCATACCCTATTAGATAGTTCTGACACATCACACAGGCTGGTAGTCTGTTCACCAGTACCAGTTTCACTTTATTGCAGGCACATAACTCGTCCAAATTTCCCAATCTCCTTTTCGTCCAGGTGGGTCTTTGTGACTAGCTACCAGGTTGTGGATGTCCGTGATGTATATCACATCCCAGTCTGAAAAATAAGAGACTTCCCTAACTTAACTACCAGGGTCCTATCACAACAACAAAATGGATATGATTTCTAGGACAAACTTGGTGCTGTGCTTTAGTGAAGCAAAGTACAAGATAAAGAAGTCAGTGTGCCTGAATGAATATATGCAGCAAAATTCTCCTTTTCCGCATCTTTCCCAGTTGAACATTATGTAAGTAAAAATTAAGTTTGTACAGTAGTCCCCCCTTATCTGCATTTTCACTTTATGCAATTTCTATTAGCCATGGTCAACTGCACTTTAAAGTTATTAAATGGATCCAGAAATAAGCAATTTCTACATTTTAAATTGCACACAATTCTGCATAGTGTGATGAAGTCGCATGCCCTCCTGCTCTTCATGTGGTTTGCTGAATCATCTCTGAGTCTAGTGTATCCACCATCTGCCAGTGAGTCACTTACGTGGCATTTTAGTTATCAGATCACCTGTCAGGCTGTGGCAGTGCTTGTATTCAAGTAACCCTTATTTTACTAAATAATGACCCCAAATTGCAAGAGCAGTTCTACTGTCATGTTATTATAATTATTCTACTTTATTATTAGTTGTTAATCTCTTGCTGTGCCTAATTTATAAATTAAACTATCATAGGCTTGTATATATAGGAAAACGTAGTATATATAGGGTTCAGTATTATGCTGTGAGAAGCCCAAGCTGTGGAGAGGCCACAGGCAGGTGCTCTGGTCAGCAGCCCAAGCTAAACACCCAGCCAACACCAGAATCTGCAGCCAGCCATGTGAGTGAGCCTTTGCACATGTCTAGCCTCGTCAAGCCCTACAGATGTCTTCCCATGAAACCACACAGCCAAGTCCAGGTGGAAAATGTGAAAGATGTTTCTACCAAGTCACTGAGTTTCTGGGTGGTTTGTTTTGCAGTAACCAAGAACCAGAACGGTGTGGTCTGCACTCTCCAGTGGCGCCCCTATGTTCAAACACTTCACTCAGCAAGCGTCATCACCCAACACCTGGACCTAATCACTCCGCAGGGTCTTTCACTACAGAATCTTTTCTCAGGGTTGCAGATGTGCTAGTCTCTGCTAAGATGCTCACCTCTTTATCTTCCCTTAGTGATTGGCTGCTCTGGTTGATGTCAGCTTTCCTTTCCTCCCGGAAGTCCTCCCTCATCACCTCCTTCCCCCTAACAGCTCCAGCTCCTTGAGGTCAGGCCTGTCTCTTCCACCGTGGTGATGGCCTGTATATGTTGGGTGCTTCATAAATTCTGTTTCAAATCTAGGACCCAACCTGCACAGTTAAGGGATTTACCTTGGGAATCTTCCAAATCTTCTTGCTACAATGGACTACTTTTATTATAAAATCCAAATAATTTAACAGTTACCACTTTTGTGATTTTATGTCAAAAAGATGAAGTTTGGCTGGGTGGCTTATGCCTGTAATTCCAGCACTTTGGGAGGCTGAGGTGGGCGGATCGCCTGAGGTTGAGAGTTCAACACGAGCCTGGCCAGCATGGTAAAACCCTGTCTTTACTAAACATACAGAAATTAGCCATGCATGGTGGTGGGTGCCTGTAATCCCAGCTGCTTGGGGAACTGAGACAGGAGAATTGCTTGAACCCAGGAGGCAGAGGTTGCAGTGAGCTGAGATCACACCATTGCGCTCCAGCCTGGGCAACAGAGAGACTACATGTAAATAAATAAGTAAATAAATTAGTTTTAGCAACCACTAGAGAAGGGCACGTAAGAGTCCAGGATAGCACATGATCCAATTCAGATGAACTTAAATGGAGCCTGCTGGAGGCTTTGTGGGATGAGACCCCACTGTCCACCTAGTTTTCTTCCTGGAAGATTATGGAGTCTATTCACTAAACGCTTGTAACTATCCTTTATATTTTTTTCACTGGGAACATGAGACTTTTGAAAAAACACAGGTAATGAAACTATGTGTTCTTTTAGCCAATACATGTGGGAAGTTTTTCAGCTTTTAAAACCAATTCAGGTGCTTACAGGTAGGTTGGTGTAAATGTGGCCACAGACTCTCACTTTGGGTCCTCTGCCTTCCACCTTCCAAGGCCAGCACACCATTCCTGAAGCCCAGCCTCACACCCTGGAGTTTATCCCACATCCCTTGAGGACCCAAAGACAAACAGCCTTGGCAATGCACTAGTGCATTGTCTCACCTCAACTACAAAGTAGCCATGGGGCCCTCACCAGCAGTGGGGGAAGATACTCCAGAAACTGGCCCTGATACCTTTGTCCTGTAACCTGACTGGGCTGCAACCACCTTGGGTGAGATAAACATGATCTCTAAGGCTCTTTTTCAGTATTGAAATTGCCCATATGTCTGATCACTTTAAAGAAAAATGTAATTTTTTTCTTTATTAAAATAATTTTCTTTTGTCCTTATAGATCGTTTGTCATATTTTGCTTCAATCAAGGGTTGGGTCAGACAAAGCCACTGGGGAGCTGACATGAGATCTGCACATTTGTTACTAGAAGAGTCAGAAGGCCACCCACTTTTCCTGTTAGTGAACCAGTGGCACAGCAGGTATGGCTTAGAGCCCAGCTTCGTGCTTGATTACTGATACATTTTGGCTGTGTCCCACCCAAATCTCATCTTGAATTTTAGCTCCCACAATTCCCACATATTGTGGAAGGCACCTGATGGGAGGTAATTGAATCATGGGGGCAGGTCTTTCTCCTGTTCTCATGATAGTGAATAAGTCTCACAAGATCTGATGGTTTTTTAAGGGGAAACCCCTTGCCCTTGGCTGTCATTTTCTTCTTTCTGCTGCCATGTGAGACATGCCTTTCACTTTCCACCATGATTGTGAGGCCTCCCCTGCCACGTGGAACTGTGAGTCCATCAAACCTCTTTCCTTCGTAAATTGGCCAGTCTTGGGTATGTCTTTATTAGCAGTGTGAAAACAGAGAAATACAGCAACACAAAAAGTCAGTGCATCAAAAACAGAAAGAAACCCCAGAGCGCGAGCACGGCGCAGCCCAGCCCAGCCCGAGCGCGGACCCGGCGCCTGCAGCCTTGGCGCCGCCATGGTGGAGGCGGTGGTGCCGGCCCGGGCCGCTGCGGAGGACCTTCTCGGTGCCTTGACATTGAGTTGCTGGACCAGTGCGATTTCTCGCGGGCCAAGGCCGCGGCCAGCCAGGCGTGGGTGCTGCGGGCGGTGTTCGGGGGGCGCAGAGCACGTACCCCCGGAGCTGTGGAAGCCCTTCTATACTGACCAGTATGCGCAGGAGCACGTGAAGCCCCCAGTGACACGGCTGTTGCTCTCAGCCCATCTCTGCTGCAGGGCCTGGCGCCAGGCACTGCCACAGTTTGAAACACCCCCCAACCCCTCTGCACTGCTGGCCCTGCTGGCGCGGAGGGTCACGGTGCCTGCATTGCCGGAGCGGCAGGTGCGCAAGGCTGACCTGAGGCACCAGCCCATTCTCATGGGAGCCCATCTAGCTGTCATTGATGTCGTCATGGCTGCCTTTGCCTTCGAGTGGACAAAGGCCCTGCCAGGTCCCTTGGCCCTCACCAGGTTGGAGCACAAGCTGCTTTTCTGGGTGGACACGACCGTCTGGCGGCTGCAGGAGAAGACAGAGCAGGAAGCGGCCCAGAGAGCCTCTCCAGCAGCCCCTGCAGACTGGGCGGCCCCGGCGCAGCCCTAGATCCGATACCGCAAGGACCGGGTGGTGGCACGGCATGTCCCCTGCTTCCCAACGGTGACCAGCCTCCAGGACCTGACCAGTGGGGCTGCACTGGCCGGCACCAGCCACTGCTATTGTCCCCAGCTGCTTCGACTTGAGGAGGTGTGCCTGAAGGACCCCATGTCTGTGGCGGACAGCCTGTACAACCTCCAGCTGGTGCAGGACTTTGCGCCTCCCGCCTTCCCCGTGGCTGCCCCCTGTCCCTCGAGGACTTGCTCTCCGTCCCCCCGCTGCTCAAGGTCAACTTGGTGGTGCTGCTGGCTGAGTTGTTCATGTGTTTTGAGGTGCTCAAGCCTGACTTCGTGCAAGTGAAGGACTTGCTGGATAGTCACGCCGCCTCCCCCGGGGCACGGAGGCCCCCGCCCCCAACAACATTGGCAGCAGTTCTCCTGTCTTCAACATCCACCTCCCACTCCTGTCACCTGGCGGCCTCAGTCCCCACTCCGAGGATCCACAGGCTCCCTGAAGTCTTCCCCGTCCATGTCCCATATGGAGGCCCTAGGCAAGGCCTGGAACCGGCAGCTCAGCGACGTGGATGTCGTCATGGGAGACCCTGTGCTCCTGCGCTCTGTGAGCTCGGACAGCCTGGGACCCCCCACATCCCGCGCCGGCCAGGACCCCTGCCCAGCAACCCCCGGAGCCTGGCGACCTGCCCACCATCAAGGAGGCTCAGCAGATCATCCACAGTGCCAAGCCCTGGCTGCTCCCAGACGGGCTGGCTGATGGCAACTTCTACCTCCACTCCCCTGAGGGGGCCTCCAAGCCATCCCTGGCCTCCCCGTGCCTGCCTGAGGGGACCTCCAAACTACTGTCCGAGAAGCCCACCAAAGCACTGGTGTACATGCTACACCCCGAGACCCCCTCAAAACCATCTTGGTGGGGGAGGCATCGAAACCGCCGGCCCCATCCAAGGGGTCCCCAAAGGCAGCGGCTTTTTCCCCCGCGGCCACCAACTCCGAGGTGAAAATGACCAGCTTTGCGGAACGCAAGAAACAGCTGGTGAAGGCAGAGGCTGAAGCTGGAGCAGGGTCCCCCACGTCCACTCCGGCCCCGCCAGAGGCCCTGAGTTCAGAGATGAGTGAGCTTGGCGTCCGGCTGGAGGAGAAACGCAGAGGCATTGAGGCCATCTTTGCAAAGCACTGCCAGCGGCTGGGCAAAAGCGCCTTCCTGCAGGTGCAGCCAAGGGAGGCTTCTGGGGAGGCGGAGGCCGAGGCCGACCCTGGCCCAGTCCCTGGTGGGGAGCGGCCAGTGGGTCAGGGCCAGGGTGAGCCAACTTTACGGCCCAAGGTAGTGACCTTCTCGCCAGACCTGGGTCCGCTGCCCCCCGAGGGGTTGGGGGAATACAATCAAGCGGTCAGCAAGCTGAGTGCTGCTTTGAGCTCTCTGCAGCGGTACATGCAGAGGCTCACGGACCAGCAGCAGCGGCTGCTGGCCCTGCCAGAGGCCCCTGGACCTGCCCCCCACCCTGCTGCAAGGATCATCCCTGGCCCCACGACGACGGGGTCCAAAATCTTGTCCCCCAGCCCCGCCCAGTGGGTCCCGGCCACCCGGTGCAGCCCTGGGCCCGGGCCCAGCCCCTCACCCCGAAGCCTGAAACACACCCGGCCAGCGGAGCTGCGGCTGGCGCCCCTGACCAGGGTGCTCACACCACCCCACGACATAGACAGCCTCCCCCACCTGCTCAAGTTCTCCCCGAGCCAGGTGCCTGTGCAGACGCGCTCCTCCATCCTCCTGGCAGAGGGGACACCCCCCGAGGAGCCAGCCGCCCTCCGGGCCTCATCGAGATCCCGCTGGGTAGATCCCGCCGCCGAGGAAGACGGAGACGGGAGTCCCCCTGGTGCTGAGGATTCCTTGGAAGAGAAAGCGTCTTCAGAGGGGTAGCCCCGAGCGGGGCTGGGGTTCTTCTACAAGGATGAAGACAAGCCTCAGGATGAGAGGGCCCAAAAGCGGGCCATCCTGCTGGAGCTGCAGCAGCGGCTAGCAGAGGAGGTGCGGCGGCGCAAGCAGTGGCAGGAGGTGGAGAAGGAACCGCGGAGGGAAGAGGCCGCGAGGCTGGCCCATGAGGAGGCCCCTGGCCCAGCCCCAGCCCTGTCCACAGTCCCTGCAGCCCCCATGGCCACCCCGGCGCCTGCTGCCCGGGCCCCAGCCGAGGAGGAGGTGGGCCTCTGGTGGGGGGACTTCACGTAGCTGGAGTACGAGCGCTGAGCCCAGCTGAAGCTGATGGACGACCTTGATAAGGTGCTGCGGCCGCCCCGGGGATGCGGGGTCGGGGGCCCGGGTCGGGGCGGGCGGAAGGCGCCGCGGCCTAGCTCAGGTTGCTGTGATGATTCGGCCCTAGCGCGAAGCCCAGCACGCGGCCTACTGGGCTCTCGGCTGAGCAATATCTATTCCCAGTCCACCCTGTCACTGTCCACTGTGGCCAACGAGGCCCCCAATAACCTCGGGATGAAGAGGCCCACGTCTCGGGCTCCCTCCCCGTCGGGCCTCATGTCCCCAAGCTGCCTGCCTGGGAGCCATGAACGGGACTGGGAGAATGGCAGCAATGCCTCCCAGCGTCGGTGCCCGAGCACACAGGTCCACGGCTGTACAAGGAGCCTAGTGCCAAGTCCAACACGTTCATCATCCACAATGCTCTGTCACACTGCTGCCTGGCGGGCAAGGTGAACGAACCGCAGAAGAACCGCATTCTGGAGGAAATTGAGAAAAGCAAGGCCAACCACTTCCTGATCCTCTTTCGCGACTTGAGCTGCCAGTTCAGGGCGCGTCAGGGGAGACGGAGGAGCTGTCGCGGCTGGCGGGCTACGGGCCCCGGACCGTCACACCCGCCATGGTGGAAGGCATCTATAAGTATAACTCGGACCGCAAGCTCTTCATCCAGATCCCCGCCAAGATCATGTCCATGAGCGTTGATGCCTTCACCATCCAGGGACACCTCTGGCAGGGCAAGAAACCCACCACTCCCAAGAAGGGCGGCAGCACCCCCAAATAGCCCCACCCGGGGCTGGGCCCTGTGTGCTGCGGCCACCGCTTCCCGGAGGACAGTGAGTGGGTTTTCCTGGGTCCTGTCTGTCCCCAGCCGTGTCTGGGTGGGACTGGAGCCTCTACCCTCTGACTCTGAGACCAGTCCTGCTGTGGGGGCTGAGCTGGGAGGTTCAGGGACTCAGGACTCAGCTCAGTCCCCTTGTCTGTCCTCCCCCACTTCTTGAATAAAATAATTTAAAGAGAAGTTGTGCCTTGTCCCCTCCAAGGCTGGCCGGGGTCCCACACTCCAAAAAAAAAAAAAAAAAGTACATTTGAAGTTACATTTTATTTAAACAGGTAAAAATGTATATGTCCTTTTAAAATTAAATCCAAAGTAACTGAATCAATAATACAAACATGTTTATAACAGTAATTAAAATAGAGGTAACATTTACCACTGTGAAAATATCACAGAAGTCAAATCACACTTAGATCTTCAATGACTGAAGTGTGCATCCCACACAGTAGGGGCTGGTAGACAGAAGATAAATTCCTCCTCCGGATGTGCCATCCGCAGTCAAGTCTCCTCATCACCACCCATCAGCTCACACAGTGGGGTAGCTGGCTGCTGTGGCAATTCCACAGTTGTTCCTCCAGTCTTTGGCCATCTTTATGCAGCCATCCATGCCCCAGCGTTTACCCCAGCTGAAAGGAGAGCAGGTTTTCCATTTCAGAGGAAGGATAAAGCACATTGGGCTATTAACTTAAACACTGTGCCAGAGCCACGGGCTTAACATAAAGAATCAGGAGATGTTGATTTTCCTGTTCGTCCCTTATAAATTCTTGAGTCTAAACCTGCATATCACTTCCACCCCAGAGCCAAAACTGTGACCCTTCACAGAAGTGTAAAATCAGAAACAAAAAGGATAGGATGTCTTTCCAGCTAGATATGCTTCAGAATTAAGAAAATGTTCAAAATTTGGACATGCAGTAGGACAAATACCATATTAATATCCCCAGCAGGCTCATGATAGTATCTAGATGTTATAATCAATCATTAATATTCTATGTTCTACCTAAGGGGGATAAAGACTTCTGGGATTTCAAAATGTGCATAAGGGCTTGTGGTATCTAAATACTAATTGCAAAAAAGGATTCCTTTTTGAATTTCAGCTCCAAGTATTTTTCTGGCAATTTATACCTGTTCCTCACCAGCCAATATTCGTTGTTATCCGACTCTGCCCCTTAGTAGCCATAGCCAGCCACCAGCATAGCATGATCCAGAGTCACTCAAAATAAATGCATGAGAGAAAAAAATGAAGACTTGGTGAGAAGCTCCCAAGGACACCTGACAGTAACCCACCCTGTCACCCACAGGGAGGGAGGCATCTCTAAAATCACTAAAATGACATGCAATCCAGATCGGGCTTAACAATATCTATTATTATCAAGGCTAGGGATTTAGGCTCTCATCCTCAACTAGCAGAAATAGAAATTAGCATGATCTTTCATAAAAAAACTTTCCTACAGGCATAAAAGACCACTATTTTTGTAATTCTACTCTAGAATATCAGTCTTAAAAGCACAGAACACCAAAATCCTTGAATAAAAAGGCTTTTTTCAGATTTAATCACAGAATTAAGAATCTTTGGAAGAATTCTATGAATCTAACAATTAGATAATATTTAAGTAAATTAAACTATACTATAAATAATATAGCTATGTATAAAGTTATGAAGTACTTATTTTCATGGAGATATGCTCAGTGTAATATCAAGTGGAAGCATCGGGTATGAATACTGCCAGTATAGAGCCCATCATGCTGGGACGTCATGGTGGCTTACTCTTTTTCTGCAATAATTTCTGTGAAGAAAGATGCTCACCTTTTCTATAGAACTGGAAGGAGACATGGCTTGCATGAACAGCAACAGAGATGGGCCCCACAGTTGCCACTGCCTTTGTCAGGTTCTCCTCCCATGAAGGGATGTCCACAAAGCCAGTGTCATTAGCAACAGAATACTGCGGATTGTACCTACAGGTTTTAACAAAGGTAAACACGGAAGAGACATGATTACCGCCATCCTTCTCCTGGGGAACATGAGTCAGAACCACAACACTCAGCAGTTTGCAGCACAGAATTTCTCAGTCAACACTGTTATAAATCATCCAAGGAAGTGAAATGTGACTATTAATAGTTAATTTGAAAATGAAAATTAGCTCCGGTCGCTTCAACGAGACCCCTAGGTTTACTTTTCATAAGACATTTTTCACAATGGAGAAATGTGTTTTGTATATGTAGAATGGTTTGTATATTCTCCACGTTACATAGAAGCAAGAACAGCTGTGTTAACCATGTACTCGCAGAACTGTGCAAAGGCTATAACGACAATACTGACAGTTTGCAGAGATAGATTCCCCCATCTAAAATGTGAATTCTGAAAAGCGTCTGTTACCTCTGAAAGCGTCCCAGTAAAACAAAGCAGGAATGGCAACAAGAAAAGGAGCTCTCCCCACATGGATAGGATGCCTCAGAGTCCAGGCCTCTGTTCTGCTGAACATGCTGGAAGGGATGATCCATTAAGCTAGCATCGCAGCCCTGATTGCCTTGAGGCCCAGAGCAGTCTACCAGATTCTGCTCACTCAGTGAGATCAGTTTGCCAGTTTTCTGGAAGATCTGCCCTTCCAGAGCACCAGTTGTACTAAAAGCCCAACAAGAACCACACTGACCCTGAAAAGATAATTAAAAAGCTCACAGGCGTGCGTGCACGCGCGCACATGCACGCGCACACACACACACACGCAGAGCACGACTTTTAACAACAGCTCATATATCTGAATACCCCTTAAAAATGTGAACTGCATGTTGCTAACACTGTACCACAGCACAAATGTCAATCACTTCTTGGCTTTCCTGGGGTGAGGTGATGAGGTCTGAACCTGACACTGTCTCACCTGATTCTTCACAGGAGTCACGTAGCCTTTCTCTCCAATCCACAGATGTGGGGACCTCAAGAAGCAGAGGTTCCTGGAACACATTCCTCTTCCTGTGCTTCTGATATTGAAACCCATTCATCACCTGCCTGAATTCTTCATTGGTCTTCAAGGAAAAGTAAATAAAATGTTAAAAAGCAAGAGATTCATTTGGTAAAGAACTGAAGAGGGAAAGCACAGAGTTCAACCATCCACAACACACTCACCATGTCTCCAAAGGCATTCATGGCCATTGTGAAGCTGTTTCCCTTGCCTGTATTCCTGGTTGTGCTGCTCCGTCATCTTCATGTTCTTTTCCCTCACTGCTATCCTCCATTTTTCTTCATTCTAGAGGCAAACATGTAACTGATGCTCTTTATTTCTATCTAAAAGCCAACCTGTGCTCACCAAGTGAATCTTCAGACAGAGATGAAAGAGAAACCATGGCAAGGGAAGGCTTGACACATCGGGGAGCTGTTCTCCAAGCTGAGACACAACAGTGGTGTATGCCCACATCATGCCATTAGGTTATTGGTAAGAGCTGGCCTCTAGAAGCTACTCTCTGGCCATATGATCCCAATAGCAAGGTCCATCGCTCTGGGGTTCCCCTGGACAGTTTCAGGTGCCACCAATGCCATATAATCTCTTGTGCTTTGCCTTCTGTTCTATTGTGCAGCTAAAATGTGATCACGTGTTAGAGCAGCTGAGGCAGTTCCCAGGCAAAAGGCAGCCAGGAATAGTGAAGGATTCATGTTTCAAAACCTAGGAAGGGTAAAGAAATGAGGATCCCGGCCGGGCGCGGTGGCTCAAGCCTGTAATCCCAGCACTTTGGGAGGCCGAGGCGGGTGGATCACAAGGTCAAGAGATCGAGACCATCCTGGTCAACATGGTGAAACCTCGTCTCTACTAAAAATACAAAAAATTAGCTGGGCATGGTGGCGCATGCCTGTAATCCCAGCGACTCAGGAGGCTGAGGCAGGAGAATTGCCTGAACCCAGGAGGCGGAGGTTGCAGTGAGCCGAGATCGCGCCATTGCACTCCAGTCTGGGTAACAAGAGCGAAACTCTGTCTCAAAAAA